TAGGAAGAAAATTAATTCTATCCCAGCCGAAACCAGGACAACTTGCATCCCAGATGTTGATGGACATAGCCTGTATTTCAGAAGAGCTTTGGTACAAGCAGGCTGGGCTATCGCTGGACCTGTGTTGGAGAGGGGATGATTATGAGGGGGGTCTAGCAGGGGCTGTAAGAAGTGATGGCAGAGCCTGCCTGCCCATGACTACACGTCCTCTAGCTGGGAACTGTTTTGCTAAAGACCATTGGCTTCCCAGTTTATAAACTCGAGCGAATTGTTGGAGGTACTCCAGGCATAGCTGAAATGTGAAAGTAAAATACTTAGAGGCAAAACGTGGACATTTTGCACATATTATGTATGGTCCCATTTGAGAGGTATTGCTTATATTTCTTCACCCTTCTTGCCCCAAACTTGAGATATTTTCAAGGTGCCTCTTGTTTTCTATTCTTTTCCATGTCTAGCTCTTAACTAGTGATCAGCTGTGATAGCACAAACCAGAGGGCTGAGATGGAAATATTGGGTTAAATAAACAGTAACTCCTGATGCAATGGCACAAGCATCACTTGTTCTGAACAGGAGTTTGTCTAAGTTTTGTGTGGCACCAGCATCTCCGAGGCTAGCAATATTAATTCAGCTGTAAGCCCTCTAATAAGATCAGTCTGCCTTCCAGATTGTGTGTTCCGTACTGCTTTGGGGTTGGTTTATTTGATTTTTTTAATAAAATTCATCTCGCGGCGCTGCCTGCTCAGCACAGCCACAGTGAGTCTCAAATATCCCTGAGCACATTGCACATCCACACGTTGGGTAGAAATCAGGCCAGGGTGGAGTGCCAGGTGAATACATGCAGGGTTATTGCGTACGCTGCCTTCCTTGGCAAAGCAGGCTGAAAGGGGAAAATCTGAGCTGCTCCCATGATATTGCTACAGGCAATGACAGTTCCTGCCTGGAAATGCTGACAGATAAACTCTCCATACAGGGCCATCAGCAGCTTTTCAAATGGGATAAGATGATGGTGTGAAAATCGTTTCCCTTTGTCACACAAAGGGGTCAGGAGAGAAGCATGGCTGAGTTAATTTGTAATTTATCTGAATTACACCATTAACCGATCCATTCTCTGAATTCCCGCACATAATTTTTATAGATGGTACTTGTCTTCCCAACTTGATCAAGTGTTTCCATCCCTTGTGCTGTTAACTCCTAGTGTGTGTCCCTTTTGTCCTAAAAACCTTGTCTGGCTCCCATAATCTTGTAAAATATTTTGCACTTAGCCGTGAGGATATCAGTAGAAGTTAGTAAAAGTCATTAAGGGGGAGAATCAGGTTCTGGGAATCCAAACGCAGAGCGGTGCTTTCATCTCTAATTCAATTAGCAGAACTCTGTCCCATATATTTTTAATATTTTGTTCTGAATTGTTTTCAAAAGACTTTAGGCAGAATTTTCCATTAAATCTGCTGCTGTCTTTTTGTCCTTTACAAAAACCAAAAAAAAACCCCCAAAACAAACAAGGGTATGTTTTTGTTTCAATTACAGGTGAGAGTAATGTGGAAGTAATTCAAGAAAACATTCAGAAAGCGGTCAATGGGAAATATGCTCTTTTCTGCCTTGGCTTTGGGTTTGATGTCAGTTATAAGTTCCTAGAGAAAATGGCCCTAAGCAACGGGGGAATAGCACGTCGTATATATGAAAATGCTGATGCAGCCTTGCAGCTCCAGGTCAGGACTAAGGAATATGCCAGAAAAGCCATCTATCAGCTACGGTGTATGTCTAGTTTTAGCAGCAAACCCACAGATTTTCTGAGATGGAAAAGTTGGGTTTGAGTTTATCTGTTAATTTTGGGGAGGGATGAAGGCAATTTTGGCGTACCTGAGGGTTTGCACCCTAACCATGGCTCAAAGGTGATGTCCTCCTCAAATCAGCTGGTCATTTGGACAAATGCGGAAACTCAAACATTTCCGTAGCTCTGCAAACAGACAAACTGTCCAGTGGAGGTGATGGTGGAAAAACTTCAGCTCTTGGATCTGATTTCAAACTGCTTGAAGTACTACTACCAGGAGCTGTTTGTTATGGTTTCCCTAAAAATCAGTGGGTAATTTGAGGCACCTCCAGGCAAACTGGCTCTGCAGTATCACCAGCCTGGGTCTTTCCTGCCCGTCTGGAGAAGGTTGGCAACTTTTTGGGGGACATTCCCTTTTTTGAGAACCCGCTTCTGCCTGTTTTGGCCGGATTTGCCTAATACCAGCAAAGAAGAAAGATTAATCCTGAGAATTAATCAAGTTAAAAAAAACAGATGTGAAAAGTGGTTAAAGCAAAACACCTAACCAGGTGAGACAGTGATAATGGGGATGTTGCTTGGTTACTTGAATCGCCATGGGAAATAGAGTTTATATGGCATTGCCAGCCAGGCTGGAGAAGGTGTGCTGAACCATGGGAAGAAACACTCATTTTTTTTCAAGCTTTGCAGCAGTCTTACACAAGCTGCTGCTGCCCATCTCTGCTGAAACAAAAAGCTTTGCTCCCTTCTTTTTAAGGAGGTTTTAGACATTCAACATATTGTTGTGCATAATTTTGCAGTCATTTGTGCTCTCTCTCTGCTTCTCTTCAGGGCTTTTATCAAGAGGTGGCCACCCCAATATTAATGAAAATTGAAATGCAGTATCCAGAAAATGCCGTTGAGGGATTAACCAAAAACAATTTCAAGCTGTTTTTTGAAGGATCTGAAATTATAGTATCTGGAAAAATTAGCAATGAGCTTGATCTTTTGCCAGTAGAAATTAAAGCTCAGTCAGTAAGTGTTTAGTTTACTAACTACAAAAAACATTACCTCCCTGCTGTCTTTTGTGGTGCAATGGGAGACTTCAAGAAGTCTTTTGTGTGCAATATGTGTTCTCTACATTTGGGCATTCAGCTGTTTTCCCATTTTAGGAAAATATTTGAGAATTCAAACAATTTTCCCCTCCTGAACCTGCTGCAAAAGGAAAACCTTTATATATCCACAAATAAGCAAACAGCAATTTTAATCCTTTCAAGGCCAAACTTTTAAGCGGTTTTAGGAAACTAGTTTGTGTTTTTAGAATGAAGAATGAAACCTGAATTATTCATCTCAAAAATGTTGAAACAGAACAATTTCATTACCTCCTTTTTTTTTTTCAACATTGTTTCAAGTCCAGAAATGTATACCCAAAATACATGCTGTTTTGGTGGTTTAGGGTTGCATTTTCCAATGGGAAAACAGCTTGCTGAAAAATTTGAGGGACAAAAGGGCACTTTGGTACTGAAAGGTTCTTTTAAGTCTAATAATGTGACTATAAAAGAAGTCTGGAACTATTCTTTTGATGATAGATTTTCTCCCACTTCAGCATGCTAGTGACTTGACTCTTAAAGAAGAAGCAAATGTCAAAGAGAAGGAGCATGTATTTCGAAATCACAGTTACATCTTTGAAAATTTCATAGAGAGACTTTGGGCTTACTTAACCATTCAACAGCTTCTGGAAAAATCGTAAGCTATTTTCATGTTCTGTATTTTCTAACTTCTTAAAACACAAATTCCTTATTCACAAATTATATGATGGGAAAACACAAAGTAACAGAAATATTTCTTCAGATAGTATTAAGAATATAGTATACGGGAAGAATACTACATTACTGTATGAGGAACATGAGGTGCCTTTCAGTTTATGATAGTGCTGTATCACTAAATACATATATATACACATATGAAAATATAATATAAAATATTCTGCATTACATTACTATGAAATAGATTCTAATTGCATGGATTGTGTTGAGCTGTTACTACACATCCAGAAATATTGTCTGTAGATAAGTGAATGGCAACAGCTAGTAAAGAGAACAATAAGTATGTCCATAAGACATTTCCTAGATCATGGATCTATTATTTTTATGGATTTGTACCATACACAGGCTCCAGTGTTGCAAACATTAAGCATCTCCATAATTTCAAGCACGTGAACAGCTGAGTTATCCCAGTAAGACTACTCACCCTTCAATAATAAAAAATACCTGTCAAGACACAGCTAATATGAAAAGGAAACTGCTCATAGTCTCTATACGTTATGTCGTCATCATTAACACAGACTTTAGTATTTCAGCACAAGAAGAGGACCAGAAAACCCTGGAGGCACAAGCCTTGCAGCTGTCTCTGCAGTACAGCTTTGTTACACCTCTCACTTCCATGGTGGTCACCAAACCCGCTGGCCAGCAGCAGGTGGAGCTGGCGAACAAACCCACTGAAGCTGGTAAATGGGGCATTGAACAGCCCCTCCCCCCCCCCGAAATAGGCCGTGGTTATTGCTGATTTGTCGTTGACCTTCCGTATAGGTTTATTTTATAGTGACTTGACACGGCAATACGCCCCATTGGAGGCAGGAGTTCAGGGATTAGCTGCCTTTCAAAATAAAACACAGAGCATTTTTTTAGCAGGTGAAGCGGTGAAATGGGCACTACGATTGAAATGGAAAATAATTGGCTTAAATATTAACTAAAAGTAATTCAACAGTTGTTACTCAGCATTCCT